TTTGGGCTTTGAACGCGAATCCCATAAAAGTTTCTCATGATTTGCTGTTTTAAACAGATGAAAATCCTTTGTCTCGTTGTGTGCACGCAGTTTGAAAGTACCTTGTAGTCTGTTAACTCCAAAAAGGCCATGCATCGTCTTTATTAAAATTAGGTCCTGGATTTTGATGAACGTCGCTTGCCAAAAGAAGAGCGATGGCTAAATAACTGATCGTTCTCCAGAACAATTGAGTTGGTTTTCTTCTCTCGATAGTTCGCAAGTGCTCTTTTGGAAGAGTCACATTTCCGTCGTTTAATATCACAGAGAAAGAAGTGAATTGCCTGCAGAAATCAAGGGTAATGATTTATTTTTCAAAGGTAAATCGATGTTTTACCCCACCCGTAATATATATATATAATATAAAAATGACTTACAAAAATATTCTGCAATGTTTTGAATTAATAAAATAAAAATGACATTACTATAAATGTAATTTACTAACACTGATGGGATGTGGTCACTTAAGAGGTTCCAGTTGCCTGTGTCGAGTACGTCCCAATACAGAATCAGTCAGACTTTTCTATTAGGAAATAAAAAAGGATGACTTCTTGAATAAATTAATAGACATTAGCATAGCATATTTCAATCATGACAACTCTTGGAACAGCTGTAGCATGTTAATGGACGTGATAATGTTAATTTATTCATCCTTGGCTGACTAGATCTGCTACACATGCACGTATAGACTTGTTACAGCTGGTAGATACATAGACATGTTGCTGTGAGCAAGTAAGATTTACTGCTGTGTATAGACATACATAAATCCAGTAGCAGATCTATACAGGTGGTGCTAGGGAGGTGGAGGGTTTCAGAGGAACACTGCTAGTGTTACAGGATGAGCTTACAATGAACAACATGAAAATTCAATGTTAAGAAAGGACGATCATTGGATGCAGAATCAGACAATCAGGCCAATCGACTTGTGCCATGTATATTCCTTGGTCAAACAATCAATAATAATAATAATTAAACTTTCAAATGCACACAGCAATCATACTCACCACAGGTAGATCATGAAGAATCATGGTTGATGTTCGAGCAAACCCATGTTCATATTCACTGAGTCTGGTCAACATCTCTTGTTTCTCTTTCCCCCACTGTCTGGAGTTTTCTTTCAGCTGTACACAAAAACATGATTTATTATAATTCATTGTGCTGACTGGAGTGTCTTATACAGACATTCTGTGGAGCTGCACTGGAACACTATGATAACTTTACTTGAATTTGTTTTAAAAGGGTGCTAGTGTAATTTTTTACCTCTTTTTAAAAAAATGAAGTGATGTATGGGAATTATTGGGAAAAGAAAGTACAAATAGGAAAAATCACTGGTCAGAATTGAACGTTGATCACCGACATGAGCACCACAGCTCAACGTGTCAAGAGTGCTTCCATCAACCACTGCACCACAGCCCTGACCCATAATGAAGTGAAATGTCTTCTGAAAGCATTAAAGTTCAAACCTGTTGTTCCAGTGTCTGGATTCGACCCTCGGCTCTCGCCAGCTGTGTCAATAACTCCAGCTTCTCACTGTCTGAGAAAGGCTGATGGGTCTGACATCAGAAGCAGTAATAAAATAAAGAGTGTTGTTCATGCAGCATATTTGAGGTGTAACTAGTGGTGGTCTCAGGTTTACCTGCACAGGCTGCTGAATGATAACAGGTGGTGGGAGATTACGCAGTCTTTGCAGCTCTTCTCTGAGTCGAGAGTTTTCTGCCGCCAGCACAGGCTCGATCTCTCTCCTCTTGAGCTCCTCTGCATCTATATACATACACGGCACGTTTACATAGTCATTTGTTGTGCTTTTGACAATTTGTATTAATAAATATAGTAGAAAGAGGACAAGAAATTACGGAAAGAGAGAGTAGAAATGTAATTAGGGCATGTTGCAGGCCAGAATCAAACCCAAATTTCCAGGATGAGCACCACAACCACTAAGTCATGACTCTGACTAATTAATTAAAGCTGAAATTGAGTTCATATGGTTTCACCAAAAGTAGGTGTGAAGACACACACCTTTATGTTTCACGGCTAATTTTTTCTTTTCTGAATTCTCTTTATTTCTTTCCGTCAGTTTTGCATCCAATATTTTCTCCATCTTCTCAATGACCTGCTCAGTAAATTAAAACAAATACAACACATTATATATTAGATACTTGCTAGATATGTAAAGGAATAGTTCAAACAACCATTCCTTTAAGTAATCAAGCACATGCAAGATTTTTTTCATGAACATAAGTGATCAAAGCAGAAGTAAATGTATTTAGTGAAAAATAATTCATTTTATTAAATGTATTATTTTTTTATATGTATTATTATTTTTTTTACTGAAAGCTGTCATATAGCTTCAGAGGACATGGATCAAACCACTTGAGTTGCATGGATTAATTTCATGCTACCTGTTTGGTTTTTAAGAGTTAGAATATTTTGGACCCCATTGACTTTCATTATATGAAGAAAAGCAGCTGAGACATTCTTCAAAATATCTTCTTTATATTTCATAAAGCATACATGTTTTTTTAAAGGTTTTGGAATGCAGTGTTCTAAACTAAAACTATTAAAATAAATATAATAAAAAAAATAATAAAAATAAAAAAATATATATATAAATATATATGAAATGTTTCCTTGGCAACTAACTAAAGTTCTAACTAAGTTCTAAAATTACAAAAACTGAAATACAGAAATATTAAAAACTGAAAAGCACATAACAAAATGACCAAAACTAAAATTAAAACTGAATATATAAAGGGGAATTCAAAAATGTATAAATATAAATAATCCAAAAATAATGGAATTACATTGGAATGACAGAATATTATTTTTGGTGGTGAATTATTCTTTTTTCCCAAACTCATGAAATTGGTTCCTCTAACCGGGACGCTCAAACAAAGAGAAGTGTATTCATGGCTTGATTGTTTAGTAGTCCAAATAAAAATAAACAACAACAACATGTTGTACAGAACAGCTAAATACCTTTTCCTGTTGGCGAACTGTATCCTCCAGTGCAGATATTTTACCACTCCGGATCTGATATTTCTTTAGCACAGCCTGCTGCTGTTGATGTGCTCTTTGCAGCTGGACAAACTCTTTCTCAATATCGTTCTTCTGCAATAATTCAAGTAAAGAGCTAAAACTCTACAAACAGGCCTAACGAGTTCATGCAGTGGGTGCAACTCAATTGCCAGGGGTCTATTGAGACTCATGCTTGCCTTGTGCATTTTTCAGCTTTGTATCAAATGCACCAAGCAATATGCCATGCGGTCTGGAGACAAATTCAATGATCTGATCCAATCAATGATCTTGGGAGGAAACCATTAAAGCATTTGATACAGCATTTCCTTACTGCCAGCAAACATCACAAATGCATGCCAGTCAATGGACCCCTTGAGCTTCAAAAAGGAAACACATGGTCTCTGAGCACTGCTGCTGCTGTTATTAAAAACTTTTAATGATCTGAGGGAAAGCGGCCTGGATTGACCCACCCTGATGAGCTCGTTTTGAAGCTGTTGGATTCTGTCCTTCTGGGCGGCTGCTTTGCTGCTTTCACTGGACAGCTTGAACTTCAGAGAAGCTGTAAAAAAGTGCCATAGAAAATTAATGAGTGCTTTGAACCAGCAAACAATAAAAACACATTTATTATAAAATAAAAAATAAATTTACTATATATATACTGTTTTTATTGTTTGCTGGTTCATATATATATATATATATAAAAAATATCAGCTAAAACCAGCTTGCTGACCAGCCTAGACCATGCTGGATGACCAGCTAAAACCAGCCTGCTGACCAGCCTAGACCAGCCTAGACCATGCTGGATGACCAGCTAAAACCAGCTTGCTGACCAGCCTAGACCATGCTGGATGACCAGCTAAAACCAGCCTGCTGACCAGCCTAGACCAGCCTAGACCATGCTGGATGACCAGCTAAAACCAGCTTGCTGACCAGCCTAGACCATGCTGGATGACCAGCTAAAACCAGCCTGCTGACCAGCCTAGACCAGCCTAGACCATGCTGGATGACCAGCTAAAACCAGCTTGCTGACCAGCCTAGACCATGCTGGATGACCAGCTAAAACCAGCCTGCTGACCAGCCTAGACCAGCCTAGACCATGCTGGATGACCAGCTAAAACCAGCTTGCTGACCAGCCTAGACCATGCTGGATGACCAGCTAAAACCAGCCTGCTGACCAGCCTAGACCAGCCTAGACCATGCTGGATGACCAGCTAAAACCAGCTTGCTGACCAGCCTAGACCATGCTGGATGACCAGCTAAAACCAGCCTGCTGACCAGCCTAGACCAGCCTAGACCATGCTGGATGACCAGCTAAAACCAGCTTGCTGACCAGCCTAGACCATGCTGGATGACCAGCTAAAACCAGCCTGCTGACCAGCCTAGACCAGCCTAGACCATGCTGGATGACCAGCTAAAACCAGCTTGCTGACCAGCCTAGACCATGCTGGATGACCAGCTAAAACCAGCCTGCTGACCAGCCTAGACCAGCCTAGACCATGCTGGATGACCAGCTAAAACCAGCTTGCTGACCAGCCTAGACCATGCTGGATGACCAGCTAAAACCAGCCTGCTGACCAGCCTAGACCAGCCTAGACCATGCTGGATGACCAGCTAAAACCAGCTTGCTGACCAGCCTAGACCATGCTGGATGACCAGCTAAAACCAGCCTGCTGACCAGCCTAGACCAGCCTAGACCATGCTGGATGACCAGCTAAAACCAGCTTGCTGACCAGCCTAGACCATGCTGGATGACCAGCTAAAACCAGCCTGCTGACCAGCCTAGACCAGCCTAGACCATGCTGGATGACCAGCTAAAACCAGCTTGCTGACCAGCCTAGACCATGCTGGATGACCAGCTAAAACCAGCCTGCTGACCAGCCTAGACCAGCCTAGACCATGCTGGATGACCAGCTAAAACCAGCTTGCTGACCAGCCTAGACCATGCTGGATGACCAGCTAAAACCAGCCTGCTGACCAGCCTAGACCAGCCTAGACCATGCTGGATGACCAGCTAAAACCAGCTTGCTGACCAGCCTAGACCATGCTGGATGACCAGCTAAAACCAGCCTGCTGACCAGCCTAGACCAGCCTAGACCATGCTGGATGACCAGCTAAAACCAGCTTGCTGACCAGCCTAGACCATGCTGGATGACCAGCTAAAACCAGCCTGCTGACCAGCCTAGACCAGCCTAGACCATGCTGGATGACCAGCTAAAACCAGCTTGCTGACCAGCCTAGACCATGCTGGATGACCAGCTAAAACCAGCCTGCTGACCAGCCTAGACCAGCCTAGACCATGCTGGATGACCAGCTAAAACCAGCTTGCTGACCAGCCTAGACCATGCTGGATGACCAGCTAAAACCAGCCTGCTGACCAGCCTAGACCAGCCTAGACCATGCTGGATGACCAGCTAAAACCAGCTTGCTGACCAGCCTAGACCATGCTGGATGACCAGCTAAAACCAGCCTGCTGACCAGCCTAGACCAGCCTAGACCATGCTGGATGACCAGCTAAAACCAGCCTGCTGACCAGCCTAGACCAGCCTAGACCATGCTGGATGACCAGCTAAAACCAGCCTGCTGACCAGCCTAGACCAGCCTAGACCATGCTGGATGACCAGCTAAAACCAGCCTGCTGACCAGCCTAGACCAGCCTAGACCATGCTGGATGACCAGCTAAAACCAGCCTGCTGACCAGCCTAGACCAGCCTAGACCATGCTGGATGACCAGCTAAAACCAGCCTGCTGACCAGCCTAGACCAGCCTAGACCATGCTGGATGACCAGCTAAAACCAGCCTGCTGACCAGCCTAGACCAGCCTAGACCATGCTGGATGACCAGCTAAAACCAGCCTGCTGACCAGCCTAGACCAGCCTAGACCATGCTGGATGACCAGCTAAAACCAGCCTGCTGACCAGCCTAGACCAGCCTAGACCATGCTGGATGACCAGCTAAAACCAGCCTGCTGACCAGCCTAGACCAGCCTAGACCATGCTGGATGACCAGCTAAAACCAGCCTGCTGACCAGCCTAGACCAGCCTAGACCATGCTGGATGACCAGCTAAAACCAGCCTGCTGACCAGCCTAGACCAGCCTAGACCATGCTGGATGACCAGCTAAAACCAGCCTGCTGACCAGCCTAGACCAGCCTAGACCATGCTGGATGACCAGCTAAAACCAGCCTGCTGACCAGCCTAGACCAGCCTAGACCATGCTGGATGACCAGCTAAAACCAGCCTGCTGACCAGCCTAGACCAGCCTAGACCATGCTGGATGACCAGCTAAAACCAGCCTGCTGACCAGCCTAGACCAGGCTGGATGACAAGCTAAAACCAGCCAACCAGCATAGGCTGTTTTTTTTCAGCAGGTAATACTTTTGCTAATACTTACCATTAAGTATTGAGTACTCAGGAGTACTCATTGAGTACATATTCATATTCAGAGTAGGTTTTTTAGCATTGTAGCGGCAAGTTTTGAAAATGTAAAAATCTAATAAATTATGTCAGAATGATAATATTACGATAGAAATCTGGGAGAAAAAAATGCCAGCTAGTTAATATTGGTGGTGGTAAAAGTTTACTAAACGGGCTGAAGAAATGGCAGCATTACCTGTATACGCATTAGAACAATGCCTTGACTAATCTTTATATGCTTAAATGAGATGTGGGAAGTGGGAGGAATTATACCGATCCGGTCAGCAATCTCGCTCTTGGTCATGACGTCAGTGTCGGTGTCGTCCAGCAGGGTGAGGTCCTGATGCAGAGACAGATCCCGCCGCAGCTGACTGTTCTCAGACTCCAGCGCGCTCACCTGAGAGCGCAGCGCCAGGATGTCATCTGCCATCTTATGCATCGCCGCACGGTAGTTTTCCAGCTCCTGCAGGAGAAATAAAAATGGATTTGTACATACAATATGACCTGCAAATATGGATTTCAATTACTTTCCATTTAGGAGTTTCCTATAAGTAGGCTATATACAAACCTAGCCCTAGAAAATATGATGGTATCAGATGGAGGTAGCATGGTACTTTGGTATACACCACAGTTTTTTTTTTTTTTTTCAGTTTTGTACTCCAAGATGGATAAAAGAATACCATTGTACTATCTTGTAATTTGGTGTTTATCCTAACATTGATTTTTATAAAGATTAGAACAATAGATTTTGTAATCATCATCCATTATTAATTCATACTGACAATGTTTGAAAGCATTTATAGTCAAGATTCATTAATGAAGGGCCACAAGTGGTGCTAAGGGTCTGCAAAAAAAAAGAATAATAATAATAATTATATATATAGTATACACACACACACACACACACACATATGTATACATATATGTATATATCTATATATATATGTGTGTGTGTGTGTGTGTGTATAAGGCTCTCAAAGGTTTTTTAACATTTTTAATAATTTAATAATTATAATAAGAATAACTGTATTCTTTTAATAAATAAATTTAATAAAAAGGACACATTTTCCTTAATATATTAACAATTTAGTACAATGTCAATTTAAAAGCCAGTTATTTCATTTTGGAAACATTTATTTAATTCTGTAATGTACATGTAATATCTTTCTCGCACAAGAATATGATGGTTTAAGCTGGTCTCCCAGCTAAAGAAGTGGCCAAAACCCCTCTAAACCAACAAGCTAAACCAGCTATGACTAGTCTGGAAGCTAAAACCAGCCAACCAGTTTAGGCTGGGTTTAGCAGGTTTTCTTTTTTTTTAGCAGACCCCTAGCGCCACTTGTGTCTCTCTCCAGCAGGGGGAGTATAAATAGATTTGTACACATGAAATATAGCTGCTTTTATATCTTGGTAAGGGTGTAGGAACACAAGGAGATCATCATATTTAAGGGTCATTGGCATCAACAAGTTTAAATATCCATCCTGTATTTGTTTGACCATTAATAGACCTTAGTCAGGTTAGGTTATGGTAAGGGTTAAGGTCTATGCAGAGAGTGACAGTTGCAGTTTGCTGCCACAAGGTAGAATCAAAGTCACATGTGTTGTGATCAGTCGGGATGCTGAGGGCTTCACCGCGCCAAAACAGCCTTAACATCAGTCTGTGTGTCTGAACTCGACTATCTAATTAACATGAATTTAAATGCTTTGCTCAAACCATTTAATCATTTTAAAAGCCAAGACAAATAAACTGTTACTTTTAAAGCGTGGTTGGGTTGAAACAGCCGCTGTCATACAATCAGTCAGTCTGAAAAGGCTTCGCTGTAGAGCTAGTACAAAGTAATCAATCCTCGGGCTGTAGTTTCTGGCAGATACTGAAACCCGAGTGAGAACTGGGTACACAGAGGATATATACAGGGATTACGATGAAATCCACCAAGTGAAAGGTATTTTCTTCCAGAATCCCTTTTCTGAAACTGCTGGACATTGATCAAAATGTGCAGGCAGACATTGTCACCTAAAGTAAAGCTAGACAGAGCTAAAATTATACCGTCACAGTCATATACCCTTGTGAAAAATATAAGTAATTGTGCTGAATGTGGACTTGTAGTGTGCTTCAAATCTTAAAAGTATATTTTTAGAAACTGTACTTGCATATAGAAAGCCATGTGTAGGTTACTTTAAGAGACACGCTTTCACGACACACTTAAGTATGCTTCCTAACACACTTAAGAACACTTTTAAAAAGTGCACTTTGTAAATGTCAAAGTAAAGGTTTTACTTATCTTTTATTGTGCTTTAAAGAAGTAAACGCATTTTGATTGG